AATATTGTGTCCAAGGCATTTTTGGAAGAAAGCATCATACGTTTTGAACAGGATGAACTGATGTTAGCTACTTTAAGTGTTATTGTGTAGGTACACATTGTTATTTTGTTATTTTATTGTAAATTTTTGAAGTGCAATTGATTTATTTTGGAATTTGTTTGCTGTGCACTTCCATATCTTCAATTAGTCATTTTTACCTTAAGTTTTGACATCCTACTAGTCAGTGGCAATACTTTTTTAAGGTTTACAACTCCATTCCAATTATTGATGTGAAAGTTGCTCTTGATTGACCCTGAGTTTCTCAGAAGAATTTTATTTCCTGTATTTTATAGAAAGTTTATTGCGATTGTTATTATCTCTAGTGCCCATCAAATCAGTGCATGTGTGGTTATTGCTTCTTCAATGATTGTGTGTTGTTGTAGTACTCCTGATCTATATTGTTTTATGAATCCAGTAAGCTGGTAGTTCCTAGCTCCAAACCAAATAAGAAGTATAAAGTGTACCTTATAGATATGATACTTACAGTATTCTCTAGGTATGTGTGACTTGAAATAAATAGATACCAACTATAGACAAAACATATATTTTTTAGTTACATCACAGTCTATGAACAAGACACAGTTAATTAAATCTTTATCTTCCACTGCAACAGTATGACAAACAAAATGAAGAGAAACAATTCATCCCTGCAAAATGCTGTACTGAAGTGAAGACAGTGCTTGACTGATATGCTACCAACTGAACAATATTATTTGGCACTTACATAATTGGCATCAAGAGCTACAAATATTTTTTTTTGTTTTATTACTGACAACTCATGTCTCCAGAGATTCACAGGAATGAAAAGTGTTAAAACAGATAGTATCAGTCTTGATTTCTACTTTGTTTCACTTTCAAGTTAGTTACTATAAGAATGTGATGAAAAGGATAAGGATCTATTAACGATCAACATTGTTTGCTTCTTATGTACCTTAAAATCTATTTTTGTCCGAAAAATATTTTCCAGGCAGTATGACGAAAGTCTTTACAAAAATAAGGCCAAATTATGGAAAATATGACAGGCATGTACCATAAACAATGGTTTGAGTGAGGACTAGATAATTATCTTTTTGTCATAAAATATTTGCTGAGATCTAGGGGCACTTATATATTTTAAAAATCTAAGCTTCCTTAACCGGCTTGTTTTGTTTACTTTTGAATTTTTTTGACAAAATAAGGTTACGCTTAAGAAGCAGAGATGGGCTACAAACTTGTTCCATCGGTGCTATAACCACATGTATTTTGAGGATGTCCCGATACGGTCCAACAAGGTATGGGGATGGCTGCTGACTGGAATAGGTACCTGTGTTTGAGTATGAAGTTGAGGTTGAAGGGGGATGATATGGGGAGTAAGACTCACGACTCAACGATGCTATGTCTCGATTTAACTTGTCAAATGAGACCACATCATCAAGGTTTAAAACCTGTAAATAGAAACCCAAAATTAAGTTGCATAGAAAGGATGATAGAAAGGAATTGTGATTTTTTACCTTCTACTGTATTATGAGATCACATTTACCTTATTCTCAACATCAAAGCGGTGTGTGCGAACAACTGTGCGCATAATATGCTCAACACCATCCATAACACCATGAACAAGGATTCCAACTTTTACTCGCATCTCTCCTTCTGGCTCTGAGGGTGGTTCCTTGCAAGTTATGGATACCCGAACAGTTCGTAAGACAACCTCTGGCACCTCCTCCTGTAATTCAAGAGATTGGTTAAAACTTGCCAGTCAATTAATAACTGATTCTAAACCCAATGAAAGAATAAGACATCATACCATTCCCTGCCATACAATTGAGTAAAACTTTTGGAACCAAACCCCCTTAGGGTATATGTCAACAGCCCATTCACATGTTTTGTGTCCTTTGTGATCGGCAAGTGCAGTGTGCGAGGAGAAGACATGACTTCTCAGTTGGTATGGAGGAAGGTGTGAATAATTTTCTATTGGAAGCAACATTGACCAGCACTCTGAAGTATACAGTCTTGGTGTGAACAATGAAATCCCTGCTTCATCATGGACACAAACATCTTCAACTCTTTCCTTTTGATCTGCAAAGGATTATTAAATTTAATAGGTATGCTCTAAAACAAACAAAAACACAAACCATAGTAAAGCATATACTTGTCTACAAACCAGCATGATAGGACATTCCAATCGCCATACGCTGCACAAAGAACTCTTTGAACTCCTGAACAATAGGTTGAATCAATAAGCTTGCAAGTTGAGTTGGACTCATCATTGGGAAACGAATATGAGTAATTACTCTACAAACTAGGTCTTTTATTTGACTGTTGACCTCTGACAGTGTTTTGATGTCAATATCACATATGCAGACAGAGGCACCTTCTTCATCCATGATATAACCTGCTTCAGCAAAGAGAGCATCTCTTTGATGGTTGATCCATCTTACAACATACCTGTAACATTGAATACAATGAGGATAGTGCAAAAACTGTACCTACAAATAGATTAAATGATTATTTTTAATTAAAATTGTAAAACTCAGAGGCTTACTCTAGTAAAGTCATTTCATCTAATATGACTATATCATCTTGCTCAAGAATGCTGATCAAAATTTCAGGCTCAAAATTTCCAAAGTCTGGAGTTTGAGCAATGAGTTGAAGATTCCACTTAATAAAATCTTGACATTTCTGAAAGAAAAATAGTTAGATACCTCTCATTAGTACTTATAACATAAATGTATATCCTCCATATCCTCTTTTATTTACAAAACATACAGAGGAGGTATGGGGTGGCTAAAATTAGTTTGATAATCTCATACCTTGGCTACTTTAATGTGTCCACAGGCTTGAGTATATTGGTGCCAAGCAACCAACTGATTGGTTGTTGCAGCATATTGAACATGTTCATACATGTAGTTCTGGCATACATTGGTAAGATCCTGAGCATAAGAAATTATAAAATATGAGCAAGTGTGGTTTTCAGAATTAAGCACACCAAAAATAATATAACCTTTGATACCTTTATATTGTATTTGTCAGCAAGGGTAAGAATGGGCATAACTGTTTGTGAATCAACACAAATATGACCTGTGTAGAAGTACTGAAGAAATCGATCAAAAACTTCAGCACATGCTGGTGTTTCTCCCAGCACAATTCGTGATTCTTTACATTCACTCCATTGGGGGCTCATCAACATTATCTACAGTGCCGAGGAAACAAGGAAGACTATATTTATAAAAAATTTGTCTTGGTAGAATAAATTTTGAACTAAAATTCAAGCAACACTCACTCTAAATACTTCACTGGAAGCACACAATATTAGTCGATGGGCTGGATACTCTTTGCCTCCAACAACAAGGCAAACGTCACATAACACTTTGTCAGAATGAAGTGAAGATATATTCTTCAGAACAGCAGAGGAGTTGTCAATCTGTAGAACATTTATAACCAAGAATTATTATTGCAATCAAAACTATAATACGACAAAATTCTAAATTCAGTTACCTCAATCTCAGCAGTGTTATACTTGCTGCTTTCTTCACATGGTGATGAACTCTTTTCGTCTGTTCTAGGAGGAGAATTACGCTGTTGAGCATTCCTGGCTGCATATTGAAACATTCTGAAAAATAAACCATGAAAAGACAAAACTATGATTTACAAACACATACTGAAAAAGAAAAGGTTCTAATCTTAGGGAACAAACAGGATCTTTTACATTTAAGGATGTAAATATATTGGAGTCATTCGAAATTATTATTATTATTATTTCAATAACTTCTTTAGGCAAGGTGTCAAGGTGTAGCGACGTCTGTACGCAAACCCCGTTTTCTCCAGGTTAGGGATGTACGTAAATGATTAGATGAAAAATACCACTTACCTTCCAACGACGTGTTCTAACATAATTAGACAACGATTTCAAGTGATGACCAATGTCACCCAAGATAGACACAACTACATGTAGGTGTCCTGGTGTTTCACAATGCTAAGACAAGTAATGTTTCTCGTATTCAGCAAAAATAGAGAGAAAAAAAAGGGCAAAGGCTGATGGAGGGTTGAGGATTTCCCCCTAAAGTTGCGAGGCTGGTTGAAGCACACGGGAGATATAGGGCACGTACGTGCGTCATTACTTTGCAGTGACTGTGACAGTGGGCGTGGTTGCGATGGTCGCGGTCGCGTCGCGGCTCGCCGCAGAAGTAGAAGTGAAGTGAGTGTGAGCGGTGAACAACGAACGGTGATCCTTTAATCTACGTCGGATTTGTTTATTGTTGACCAACAGCTGGTGGCAGCATCTGTCAAGCATGGGGGCTCATGTTTCCAGGACAGACTTTGAGTGGTCGTACACCGAGGAGCCTCACGCCAGCCGTCGGAAAATAATCCTTGGTGAGTCCTAACCTCAGACTTATTGAACTCTTCCCTCTGAGCGGCACTGCCATTCACTTCCTCCCTACATTTTTACCAAAAGCCTCTTTGTTTTTACATTTCTTTATGCTATATTCCTTTTGTATGTTGCAGCAAAGTATCCCCAAATCAAGAAGTTATTTGGTTATGATCCATGGTTCAAATGGCAGGTCGCAGCGTATGTCCTGATGCAACTAATTATGCTATTTGTCATGAAGGATCGATCATGGCCCATGATATTTCTAGTAGCCTACTGCTTTGGTGGTGTCATCAACCATGCCTTAATGTTAGGTGAGTACAGTTTATTACAACGCAATTCCAAGAGCAGAAGAAAAAAGACCAAAACATATGTGGCCCCAGGTATATTTTCATCTTGTATGTGTCATATAGATGCGCACCTCAACCTTCCCCTTATTCAGCATAAATTGGGGCTGTGTAATTTATTTTTTTATGTTAATGAACTGTTAGTTAGCTCGAGGCTTTTGCAGTCCGTTCTTGATTACTGCCAGCACTATGTCACCTTAAGAAAACTACTTTACTGAAAAACTTGACGCAGTACTCATACCTATTACCTAACGCTGTTTGTGTCAGCGGCGCTTCCGGTAGCATCCGCCGCCCGCCCCCATCTCCGAAACACATTCTATACATCATTATAGCGGCCAGTCATTAGCCTGCTCGGCGCTCAGCGCGCGGAGGCGGGCCCAGCTGGGCCTGCGCAGCCAACAACGAGCTGTCGGATCAAAGCCTATCCAAGTGTGATCATATTCATACATCCAAAGTACTTTATTATGACATCATATTCACTGACCATTCGCGGCGGTTCGCTCCGCCTGGCCATGTCACTTCCGGTCCTGCGCATCGCGTGCCTAGCGCCGGGCAGGGCGAGCACGGGCTTATCTTGGCTCATAGACCGCGATTGGTTAGGCATTTTAGCAGGAGAGAGGGCGCAGCCATGAGGAGCGCGGCAAGGCAGCTACTCGAGTCGGGTGGATGGGGGGCGGGGGTTGACGTCTGAGGAGGGAAGGACCGTCCTGCACCCCTCCCCCCTCCCCTCCTTCCACTCCCCGCCGAGTCGCTATCTTCCCCCGAGAGCTGAGTGTGTGGCATCCGCTGCTGCCACACTTAAGTTGCAGCTGCGCACTTTTTCTGTGTGCCTGTTGGTTGTTTTTTTTCGCTTGCTTTCTCTCGAACACTGCAGGTGTCTCTCTCACGCGGGCCCATGCCATGTGCCATCTCTCTCTATCCTTGTCGCACAGCCGACGATACCTCGCTGATGTGTCACCGTGTGGCAAGGGCCATTTCGTTGCGTGACTCATGTCGTGCCTGGGTGCGACGGACACAGACGAAGGAACGACATATATTTCTTTCTCTCTTTCTCTCTTTGACGTGTGGGTCCTGCCTCCTGCATCGTGGTATTGGGGCAATTCCAGAAAAAATGGTAAAAAATGTCCGTCAGTGACGGCATTTGTGAGCGACTGAGAAGTGCGACAGATTGTTGAAGCACATGACTAGAGGCGTTTTTGCAAGACGCTTCTAGGGACGTATTGCAACAATACGTAGCACCTCTCAGTCGCTCACAAATGCCGTCACTGACGGACACCCCTGTCTGAAATTACCCTTTGGAGAGCGGAAGAGAGAGAGAGAAAAGGGGGGGGGGGGAACTGGACGTCCGACGGCATGTCGACGTGACTCTAGCCACATCTACCGCCACCCGCACATGCCTGTACCCAATATACCTGACACTATACTGTACTTAGACACCTATTATGTGGTTGCAACTGTGGGGCAATGAAATTATGCCTTCAAATAAGTATCCTGTGGTTATTTTGTACAAAGTTTCTTTCTCTTACAGCTATTCACGAAATTTCACACAATTTAGCATTTGGACACGCGCGACCTATGGCGAATCGTCTCCTTGGCTTCTTTGCTAATCTGCCCATTGGCATTCCAATTTCTATCAGTTTCCGAAAATGGCATTTGGAGCATCACAGGGTAAATGAATATTCAGACACACTCTTTCTGCTTCTGAAGTTTGACGACCCTCTATATTTTTAATATCATTTGCAGTATCAAGGAGATGAAGTGCTAGACACTGACATTCCTACATATATAGAGGCCAAGCTCTTCTGTACAACAGTGGGCAAATTTTTTTGGGTATTTTTACAACCATTCTTCTATGCACTGCGCCCAATGTTTGTGCACCCAAAGTCACCAGAGCCTCTGGAAGTAATAAACCTCTTTATTCAACTGGCTTTTGATGGTTTGGTCTACTACTTTTTTGGTGAGTAGAGTTTCTACTTCTGCACACCTATTCTCAAATTCACCTGCTCACTGTGTCTATGGTACTGATTCTTTGTTTTTAGGTGGCAAGGTATTAGTCTACCTTATAGCAGGATCTTTGATGGCCATGGGATTACATCCTGTGGCTGGCCATTTCATTTCAGAACACTACATGTTCAAAAAAGGCTTTGAAACTTACTCATATTATGGTATTTTGAACAAAGTAACATTTAATGTGGGGTACCACAATGAACACCATGACTTTCCTGCAGTGCCTGGTTCACGTCTTCCTGAGGTACAGTTTCAGATCATTTTATTTGGTTAACAAAACAAAACAAAAATTAAATTAATTTTTTCAAACTTCTTTCATTTTTTGTTTTAGGTGAAGCGAATTGCTGCTGAATTTTATGACAACCTTCCTCAGCATAATTCTTGGGTATCTGTCCTGTATGACTTCGTCACTGATCCCGAAATTGGACCTTATGCACGTATTAGGAGGAAGCATAAGGGCTTGAAGTCATAAATCTATATTATCTTTTCATCTGTATCTGAACGGTTCTAGTGTTTAAATTTTTTGAAAGTATGTACCTTATAATTCAATGACCTAAATTCCATTGGATTTTATTGCATTTTACTTGTTAAATCAAAATAATGTTCTAATTGATTCGGTCTAGTGTTGTTTGGAAAACTCTTACACACAGTTGTAATGGCTATTGAAAATTTCTAGTTCACCTGTTGAATCCAAATGATCATTCCTGGCTAAAATGTTTTTATCTTTTTTTTTATCTAGAATGCCATAAATACAGCTAAATTTCTTGAATGTCAAATCAATGTCTATTGTTTTCTGAGATTTTTAATTCTTCTCTTTTGGACAGTGGTCATTTGATTTTTCCTCCGGTACTTAAATTAATTTGTCAGAAAGATAGTAGAGGTTTCCTTATTACTTTCTACTGCAGTGTGCAAAAGTGGTGCAAATTTTGTGGGCATTTCATAATCAAAGCGCTTGAAGTAAACTATGCAAAACAAAATGTTGCCATCTTGAACCAGTATGCTTTAACTTCTTTCCAGCATAGAACTGTAAATTTGTGCTAGAGTCCAAAGTTAAATAGTATTATGTCAAATCACTGTCTGATTATTTATATATTTAATCATTGAAATACCTGTTCTATTCACGTACTGTATGCATTAAAAGTTATGTTGACACATTTGAAGAAAGTGTGTTTTCTTTCCTTACAAAAGCATTTATGACCAGGTTACTGTGTTTAAATTTCCAGTTATTACGGGTTAAGTGATTTTAAGTCAGTGTGGTCTCTTTGGAAGCCAGATGTACAGGATTTATACTGAACCTACCTCAAACCAGTATATCTTAAATATTTTGTACACTATTTTATTCTTTAAAATATTTGTTTCTAAACAAAAGTTATATTCTTGTATATGTGTGAATGCGCTTGCCTTTTAGTGCAAATGTGTGTCATATTGCTTCATGCTTATTGGGTGGAATGCCTAAAGAACTGTTGAGATAAATGTAAGTTTGCTATGTCTGTGATGTTTTACTAGGCGATATTAAAAGGCTTGCTTTTAAAACTATCAACCAATGTGTTTAGATTTTAAAGTAAAGGCTACCTATCTAAAACATAGCTTTTGAATCAACCAATGTGTCTTGATTAATGTTTTACTTTCAGTTCTTTTTTTGTAGAATATTTGATTCCCCCTAAAAAAATGTAATTAAGTATAGTTGTGCTTTTTTAAAAACAAGTACCACTATTCACCTGTTCTTGATTAAAAATTGTGGCAATTTAACAATAGTTGATATTTCTGAAAGTGTACTTCCTGGTGCGTGATTGTGCTTTGTTCATCATCTGAGCTGCATGTGAAATACACTTCACGATCAGACATCTCACTGTGTCAGTCATTCCCCCTTCCTTACCCCTACACAGAACCGCCACTCCGTGGTATGATTTGTGTCGTTTTGACCTCGTTTAATATCACAGGCCCATTTGTTATTGAAGGTGTACGAAAACAGAAACTTGTCGCGAAATCCGAGTGTCCCTGTGCTTTGGGAGCGCCTGGATGGGTGGTCGGCCGCCAAGCCAACTGGGCCGTGATGCGGGCGGGTCCCCCATGGTGTCCCCCCCTCTCCGGGTGGCTGCCGGAGCGCGCCGCCACACAAGGGCGTAAGTGCAGGGTGTAGTGCGGCGCCGTGGTCACGTGGGTGCGTCCGAATGGAGAGGAGGGAGGGGGAGAGCGCTCCCCGAGTGGAGCCTGCAGCCAGAGGACATGATTAGCATAGCGCCCGTTATCCACGGCGACCCGTTTAGAAAAGGGGGGGCTTATTTGGCATGTGAACAACGTCAAGGCGACGTCAGAATTATTTCAACTGGGTATCAAACGCCCGATGGTTGGGCTATTAATCGTGGAATCGGCTCTTGTAATCGCCTGCCAGACAATATATCGAAAACTGTTGCTTTGCTAGCATGAATGGCGGCATTTTCTGGGAAAGCATTGCTAATATTCACCAGGCGCGGGATAAGGGATGGGGGGGGGGGGGGTCGCCTAGTGATCCCGAATGAGCTGCCTGAAAAGTAGACAATATGTGCCACAAAATCCCTGCAAGTAGGCAGCCCGCGGTGCACCGCCCCCCTGTCAGCCAGACCTTCGCGCCTGCCTGATGTTCACAATACTTCTGTGATTATCTGAAAACGTTTCCAGGTTTCACCGCATCACCATTCTGTCACCCAATAGTCTTCTTTGGTCCTCCCCCGCAAGCGATCGGCGCGGGGGGCAGCACAGCACCTACTAGTTCCTCCCCCACCCTTCTCCTCCCATTTTTCACGAGCTCACGAGGCGCACAGACACTAGACACCGATGGTGCAACAAGAGATGCTCAGCTCGTGCACTGCACAGTGCGGCCGTGCCCAGCCAATAGTGTTGGCGGCTACCCCATAGGGCCCCATAGGGCCCATAGGCTGCACTAGGCACGGCCAGGCCCCGGCTAATTAGCTGTTCTGGGCCATTCACTTGGGAAGGCACGAGGGGGGGGGGGGTGTAGTTTCCCCTCTTGCACTCTATTTCCTCGTTTTTTGCCGAGTTTCATACGCGTCGAGCTGAACAGCGCAGGGTCCGGGTCTGTGATGGCGATGGACGTGGTCTATCCGCGACGAGCACTACTAGAAAAGGGGCAGACAAGCGATCAGACGGGTGCATTCCAGCAGGGCGGTTCGCGCCCTGCATCTGCTGCACTTTTTGCACTCTGCTAGTACGTGTTCGGAGGGGTGAATAATTCCAGGTCAATTACTTCAGGGCTAATGTGAACCATGAACTACTGATGTGTTAATCTGTATAGGCCTACTCATTTACACTCATCTTCGCCCAACCAACATTTTCGAATATATTTCGCGATTTTCGTTAGATCCCTGGGCTTCTATAGTTTTTAATTTATTCACGTGTTACATTTAGCTCTACACGACAGCATTCACGAAATAATTGAAAGATGTATTTAGGTGATGACATGAGTCGGGCGGCGGGCGGCCCATGGCCCCGTGCGGGTAGGCAACGCGCCCGCACGCATGCGCGGCGGTACAGTGTGATGCGAGACGCAAGGCGTCTGGAGGCAGTGACGGTTCTGCGGCAAGGACGGCGAAGGAAGGGTGTGCTTAACAAAAATTATTTTCACCTTTTCGGCATTCTCTTTTCAACGAGATCTCCTGAGGACATATGAGCGTAAACGAATGATTACTAGAAAGATAAAAGCACACTGGATTTTGTTTACCCTACACTGTAAAAAAATCTACAGCATTATCACTGGAAAAACAAAGAAAGTACAGAACGGGTTTTAATCGAGGGGTCCTTCACTATAAATTCTAGCGTACACTGATTTTTCTGTTTTTCTTGATTTTTCATGATTTTTTGTGATTCTTTCTGACTTTTGTTGTTTTTTCTGATTTTTTCATGATTTTCTCGTGATTTTTTGTATGGGCGTACACTGATTTTTTTTGAGTGAAGAACCCCTCGGTTTTAATGCCCATACAAAGGCATTAAAAATCAACTCCTAGAAAGTAAGTCCTACCTTTGTTTTTCATGTGTGCTGTCTGTAGTGCTTTGAGTGAGAACTCTATTAGCCGCTTTCAATGCCAAAATTATTCGACACTGTTAGATTATTGCAAAGCAATGTTTTGTAAATTGTGAAGGGTTTTGATCCTTTGTAACAATGAAGCATTTACTTTTCAATTATGTTTAGCATCGCTTTGTAATTGCAAAGCAAATGCTTCGTAGTACAAAGGATCAAAATCCTTCGCAATATGCTCACCATTTCTTTGCATGAATTTAACACTGTATGCCTTTCGGGGCAATGTCACAAATTGACCTCCTTTCAAATAGCAAGTTTTGGCATTCTTTCGTAGCTCGTGGTAAAGGGGGGGCGGGGGGGTTGTCCCATTTTGTCGCATTTTCTTTTGGCTGGGGCCGGGGCCGAGGGTATTCCCCGGTCCCTGCTGATTCCAACGAGCGAGCCCACGAAGCCCGCCCCCACCGCGGTGCGCTCTTTTCTCGCTGTAATTAAGGTTAACATAAACGTGTGGGGGCTGAAAAGCGAAATGCCAGGCAGCTCCACGAGAGAGCTGGAGAACCAGACAGAGTGCCAGGATGTCCCTGCAGGATGAGGGGTGAGGGGTTGAGGGGTGGGGAGGCACTTGAACGTGGCGCAAGTCTCATTATGGGAGTGAAAAATGTCATCTACAAGATTAAGGAGCGGCTTATGCTATACAAGAGCAGGTTTTGGTGGAAGTTATTCAGAGTTTGAAAGTGGAACTTTCGGGTTTCATTCGCCTTTCGCTACTCCTAAAACGCAAGTTTTCTTCCGCTTCGACTCTGGCCTCTCCTGTCTCGCGCTTCTTATTTCATGCTCTGCGGAAAAGGAGACTTTGATGGAGAGGAGGATGAGGAGGAAAGAAAACGAGAGAGAGATGGCCGTGGTCCGAGTCTACTGGGCAGGCTGGGAGAGGGGGGGGGGAGGAGTAAGCCAATTAAAGAGATTTCAAGAGCTGCGCATCTCGAGAGATCAAGTGGTTTCGTAGTACAGAGAGAGCGAGAGATGGGAGAGGCAGGGGGCAGAAAGAGAGAGGGGGGAGAAAGGGATAAAGAAGAGGGAGCGCTCACAAGCTTTACAAAGCGGGCTGAGAGCGCAGAAGCGGAGGCCAAGCGAAGCCATTCGAATAAGGCAACGCTAGGCCTGGCTACGTTGAGCTGCCCTTTTCCGCATGGTTTGCCAACCTGCCGCAGCAGCCGCAGCAGCCGCAGCGGGGCGCTCTCTGGCTGGTTACGCTCTGCTAGCTTCGCTCTGGCTGCTGCTTTCTCGTCATTCACATCCCTTTGCCGAGCGGCGGGGCGGGGGCGGGGTGGGCAGCGCAGAGGAGGCTCAAGGGTATGTCTGCGGCGCGTTTACGAAAAGGGAAATACTTTTGTTCTTGCAGTGGATGAGCTCTCCTCAGTACCGGGGAAAGAAGCAGGGAGGTGGAGGGGAAGAGGGAGGAGGGCGAGGGGAGGGGGTAATATTTCAGACCGTTGCAAAGATTTTGAATTTGCACAGAGGCTTTGCCAGCAATCTGCACTGTAGCAGTTTAACGCCGGCTTATATAAGCGCGAGATGCAATGGAGCCCCCGGTACATCATATCATCGTATAATGATACTAGAAAGATGAAAGAGCCATGCAATACCCTTCTGAGGGCGCTACAGAATTGTTAGAGGACCTACTGCACTAGTGCCTGCAAAGGTACAACAAATAGCACTATTGTTTTGGATGATGGTAGCGCCTTTCTAGATGATCTATATCCCCAACGCCTAGAAGACATTTTGTTTCTCCAGTGAAAGGTCTGACGCGTGTGGGCTAAACACATTTGGCATTGGCAGGTTTCTGCTTTATCGTGAAGTTGATAGAGTCGAGTGTTAAATGGTAGGAGGAGGAAAACTTACTCACAAAAATCACCCATGTCTTTTAGAAACAACTCGACACTGTAAATTCTAAATGTCTAGCAGGTAGGCGATAAAGTCACCTAGCCCCCAAAACTAGGCGACTTATGTCGACTACCTGCTGAACACCTTTTGGTCTACCGAGTAATTGCATGGTATGAGCCCATAGTCATTGTGCATTGTGCCCATTCAATTACCCGGGAGACCAAAAAGTGTCCAGCAGGTATAGTCGACACTGGATTTACAGTGTAGCCAGTCCGGGCCGGGCTCCCCTACTGCCCCACGGCTCTTAGGCACGCGCGCCTGCCCAGGTCGAACCCCTTCACTCGCCATTACTTCAAACAGTTTCTCATATTTTTCCTTTTATTTTATGCGATCCTTCGCATCCCCACCCTTTTATCCCCCCTCTTCCCCCCCTTTCTCTCTCTCTCTCTCCCTCCCTCCCTCCCTCCCTCCGTCCTCTCAACGCCACAAGTAACAACGCCGTCTCTGCTTGGGTGGCCCGTGCCTTCCTGGACTCTACTTGAAGCACCCGTGCGGTTGACTCCCTGAATAGATGAGAGGGGTCGAACAATCGCTGCACGTGACGCGGCGGGGCGCGGCGCGGCGTGGCATGGCGTATCGTAGCGAAGCGTGGCGTAGCGTGGCGTGGCGTTGCGCCAATTCACGAAACGCGTCAGCCTCTCAAATAGTTGCATCGCCTCTCCACCCTTGATTCCACTTTGTCCGTTACACGCAATTACAAGTGGACGGAAGAGAGGAGGGGTAGGTGATGGTCAGGAAAAGGTCACGGAACAATTAAAATTAAATGTAAAGTACATTTTTGTTGAAAAGAGAATTTCTTTTATGGGGCTTGCCTGCCCCACATGGTGCCTTTTGGCGATGTACCCAATAAAATGGAAGTTTGGGGTAGAGTCGGTAAAAGCTTTT